AGAAGAGGGCCAGAGAGGGGGCAGGCAGGGAGCAGGAGGAGAGGACAGGTGTCTGGCGGGCTGGCGCACATGCGGGCATGCAGGGTGCAAGGAGCAGCTACAGGAAAGTTCAGCTCAGAGTTCTCGAGGTCAGGAGGGGAGCAGAGACTGTAGGCTGGAGGCCCATCACAGGCCTTTCCTCTGGCCGCTGAGCAGTGCCATCCAGCAGGTGCCAATTTTCCAGTTCACCAGATTTTTCCAGGGAGGTTGTGAGTGTTGAGCAAAGCGTCCCCAGAGAGCTTCCCCAGATCTAATAAGAGCTATCATGAGCGAACACCCTCGGGGCGCCAGGCCCCAGGCCATCTGCTTAGCAGCCGGGCCCTCATCCCACCATGGGCCAGGCTGCTGCTTCTGCACCGCACTGTAGACCAGGAAGCCAAGCGCAGGGGACACAGAGGGAGGTCACGGCACAGCCGGGCCCTTCCCTGTCTGGAGGTCCTGGCCCCCAAAGGGTCCCACACTTCTCCTGGGGCCCCAGGCCCTCCCCGGAGAAAGGCAATCTCATTCAGCCAGGAGCAAGGGAGGTATTTCGGGGCCAATTAAATCAGGGAGGCTGTTACTGCTAATGTGTAATTGGTTTTAAAATACTTGCCTTGCTCTGGATGGCAGGATTTAAACAGCCCAGTGCCCCCATCCTGAGTGGCACCCATGGGCCATGACCGTGACCTGCCACCCCTTCCCACTTCCTCGGAGGCAGCCCTGGAGCTCTAATTGGCTGCTGGGGATAAATATTTATGGGGCCGTGTAAACAGGGAGCATCTGCCCGCATGGCCTGCTCTCGGGGTCTCTCTGCAGCACCCAGGAAAGCCAGCAGGCTCAGAGGCCTCTACAAGATGGACATCCTTGCCCTACAAATTGACAATCACTGCCGTCTTCCAGACTCAGGGCCGAACATCTAATTAAATTTCCAGGCCAGGATAACGGTGTTAGCTCCTCCTGGGTTCAGGAAGGCCACGGATTCACTGCTCCAGGGAGGCCCTGAGAGATGCACCATGCCCCTGGGTGTTCTGGCTCCTCCACCAACCTCCACAAAGGCTACAAACTGCTGGACCCAAACACACAACCACCACCTCTGCTCATAGGGACAAGATTTCCACCTCGTGGGCATCTCAGAGGCTGAAGAACCTAAGGGCCACGCATGAGGGGTGGCCTGGTACTCCGAGCCACAAGTATCTGAGCAAGCTGGTCCCAACCTGGCTGCACAGAAAACCGTCAGGGTGCCCTAAAAATAGACTCCGGGCATCTGCCTTGTCTTTAGAGGAATGCGTCACCAGCCAACCCCTGTCTGCGGCCAGTGCTGAGTCATGCTGCCCTCCAGCCATCCTGGAACTGTGACCAGCCCAGGACCCCCAGGACTCTGTCTGAAATGCTGTCTTCACCTGTACCTCCAGTGCCATGGGTCCCAGAGTGACTGTGGGTGACACGGCTGCCATCAGCAGCCATCTCCATGCGAAGAGCTCCCAGTGGGCCATGGTGAGGCAGGCAGGAGAGCACAGGTGGCAGCAGCCCTCCCCCGAGTAAGCTATGCCAGCCCCCGGCCCCTGGGTCACCATGGGCTTCGCCGCTCAGTGCCGGGCAGAGGGCTGGCGGGCAGCCTGGGAGCTCCAGGGAAGGGGTGTCTGGGCTGATGTGAATATGTGAAGGGTCAGCAGACAGGGCCAGGCCTCCCCAGGGTGACAGGAGCTTGCCTTGGCCAAGGTCTCCTGTTGGACAGTGCCTGCTGGGCCACTGTCCAGGTCCTCGGGGGCAGGGAGGGAGGACAGGAGGGCAGGTGGGTGACCTCAGCACGCCCATTCCATGGTGTCAATTTGAGTCCTGCTGGGAGTCAGATGGAACCCAGGCCCCAGCCTGCAGCAGCTTCCCCAGAGCCAAGGCCTCGAGGGGACACTGCTGGCAATTGTCACTGTACCCCTGCCCCTCCCCAGTGCTCATCACCTCCCTTCTCCCTCCGGAGCTCTGCACCGCCTGCCGCATGCCCCTGTCCTGCCAACTGCCCGAACGCCCAGCTCCTCTGCACAAGCTCACACGGAGTGCGCTCCTGTGGCCCAGCCCCTGCAGTCCTCTAGGGACACGGTTTTCTTCCACATTCAGACAGCCCAGGGCCAGGTGGTAGGGGCTCCTCTGCCCCGTTCCCATTCCTGGGCAGCTCCTCCTCCCTCAGCCCTCCCCTCCACAGCTGGAGCACCACGACTCTGACCCCCATGGGCACTGACCCCACTTTTGCACTGCACGAGCCCCTGCAGTGCTGTCCATTGAGCTATATTCGCACCCCACCACGCCTGGCCTCTGCTAAGCGGAGGCCAGGAGCTGCTGGAGCCAGGAACCTCCAAACATTTCCATCCTGCCTGGAGCCTGGGTTTTGGTTTTCCTCGTAGGACAGTTTCCTGCTCTCTGCCTAGCCACAAACACACCCGCACCCCGTTTACCCTCCCTCCACTGGTCCCCTTCCTGGCCTTTCTATACCCCTGCACCTGCCCGTCCTCCTGGAAACACTTTAGGACCCTCTCCTCTTCCAAGAGCCACACATGTCCCTGCTCTGTGAACACCCAAGTGCCTCAGCAGCTGCCACCCTGGCTGGCGCTGCACAATGAGCATCTCGTGGGCAGTTCCTTTCTGTTGCTGGGCCAGCCAGTGCACACACAGCCACATTCCCTTCCCTGCCGCTCCAGCCTGGTGTCCCTGCCCATCCCGGCCTCCTGTCAGCCCTGGGCAGCAGCCCGTGCCTGGCCGGCCCCTCCATCGTCTCTCTGGATGCCGCAGCTCCTGGTTTTCCTTGGCTCCGTGACCTGCTGTGTCTCAGTCCCCTCTGCAGCTTCTCTCCCTGACCCCTGGGAGCCTGCTCTCCTATTTCTAGATGATCTCACTCAAGCCCATGTCTTGAAATGTCATTTAGGTACTGATGACTCTCAAATTTATCTCTGTACTGGCCTTTCCCTGCGCCACGACACATAGATCTAAGCTGACATCTCCACTGGATCACTCCACGGGTCACAGGTCAGACACACTGCTCCAGCTGCTCCCTGTGTGTCCCCCAGCTCCGTCAACAGCACCCCGCCCACTTGGCCATGTCTCTCTCTCTCTGTCTCTCTCTTTTCCTTTCCAAGACTTTGAGCTACACGGGATCCACCCACACCTTCCTGCCTCACTCCCAACCCTGCCCAAGCAGCCACTGTCTTCCACTCTGAAACAGGAAAGTTCAGCAAGCTGACCCTCTGTCCTCTCCGTGGGTGGGGGAGGGGGCCTCTCGGGAAGGCGAGGGTCAGTCAGGGTGCTAATTGGATCAGTCTGCTGGCCCAGGGTGGGCAGTGTGCTCTCTCCTTTCACTGAGAAATAGCTATTCCATTCAGACACCGGCTCAAGAGCCATTAACAAATTAATTCCATTGAGTGCAGCTCCAGCACTCAGGCCTCCAGGCAGGCAATCCTGGTCAGTGTCGAGGGCCTGGCCTGCTAATAAAGTGGGAAGCAGGCTGGATGCAGAGGCGATTATTTTGATGCCTGCCTTGTCCCTGGAGGGGTGAGCAGGGGATGTGATTTCACCGAGGTCCCCTGCGGGAATTAACTCACTCTGGCATGGGAAGCGATTAATCCCAGGCAGAATGGTCAGGTCCAGGACGGAGCCCCGCTCGCACCGCTTGGCGGCCCCTGGAGCTCTCTGTCTAGGGGAGCAGTCAGCGGGTGCCCACTAACGGGGTGAAAGTCTACTTCTTCAGCGAGGAGGAAGCCCTCTGCAGCCTGCATCCGAGTCACCCTTCACGCTTTTGTTCAATGAAAACTGGGCAGCTGCTGTAGATGCACAGCAGATTTGCAGGGAGACCAGCCCTGGCCTGCAGCTCAGTGGTGAGCGCTCACCAGGCACTGGGTTCCATCCCCAGTGGCAGAGAAATCCAACCACAGGCCCTGGACTTCCAATCCACACTCGGGCAAAGTTGCCCTCAGAACACTAGCAATGCACAGTCAGGAGACGGTGGCCAAGGGCCAAGGCGAGGGACAGGGCACAGCAGGGCTCTTGAGCCCTGAAGGATGGCAGGCAGGAGGCGTCTAGAAAGAGGGCTCTCAGGGCATCAGGGAGCAGGGGCCAGGATGTTCCTCCTGGTCACCTTCACTGGCAGCCACTCTTCTGCGGTCCTCAGGCAGCGACAAACACGAGGCTGCGTGGTTGGTGGCTTTGCCACCATTTGTCCATCTTTTCCGATGCCATCCTCCACCCCTCCGGCTCTTGGCACACCTGGCACAGGCCTCTCTCCCCTCCCTGAAGTCCTGGAGCCTGATTCAGTCCCCGAGGTCTCCATGGCCTTACACAGGTTAATGCAGCGGTGCGTGGGTCCCCTCCCCAACCCTCTGGCCTGATCCTCCACTGGGACATGCACGTTCGGGCCTGTCGCTTCTGTCCCTCACCCCCAGATCCCCCAGAGTCTTCAGTATAGGCACCGGGGGGACCAAGCAGCTAGCTGCCTGACCCAGGGCCATCTCCAGGGGTGCACAAAACCCCCTGGAACCCTACTTCTCCTCGGGGCAGGAAAGGGAGGTGCTTCATCCTGCCCCAGCTCGGGCTGGCTTTGGTCTGAAAAGCAGTTTCTGGAAGGCCGCAGACGTATTTTAAGGCTACTGCCCGTTTTTGCATGGGAAGGTGTGGAAGCTTTTACGAGAGCATCGGGCAGCTTGTGGGCTGAAGAGGAAAGTCCTTGGACAGTACACCTGGCAGGGAGGCCAGCAACCCTCCCAGAGCTGGCTGCTCCCTGAAGCCCTATCCAGCACACTCCTGGAGAGCCCTGCCTCTAAGGGAGCACAGGCAGCTCCCCTGTAACCACAGCCACCACCACTGGCAACCATCCTTCCTCCTGCTCAAAACCCCTTCCTGGCATCCCTGGTCCACGCAGACCCAGCGTCCATGTGATCTCCCGGGAGAGCTGGCGTCACCCCAATGCCAGGAGCAGATTGGCAGAACCGCCGAGCACTGACCTTTCATGAGGGCTGTCCTGGCCTCCGCCCACTCGCTCCTGCCGTCCGAGGTCAGCAGGCCAATGGGAGGCAGGCGCTCGTCCTCGTTGGAAGCCATCTTGACGATCTTCCTCAGCTGGGTGACCAGGTCCCCCTCGCTGAGACGGCGGAAGTTGATGACCACATCCAAGACAAAGAACTGTAGGGACACAGGGGACAGTCACTCAGGGCAGCGAGCTGGGGCACCAGGCCTTCGGAGAGACTTCTGAGAGAGCCCGGAGCAGGGAACCCCTGGGCCTCAGCCTCCTGGGAAGTCTGGGGTGCTGGGTTACTTCAGTGTGGCACCAACTCAGTGCTGCTGACTGTGCTGGACTCTGCACTGACCCCTCAAAGAAGGTTGCATTAAGCTTAGCACCCCCACCCTACTAAAAAACAGAACAGGCTATGTTGCTCCTAGCTCATGCAATCTGTTGTGCTTGGGGCGCTGGGGTGTAAATGGCCACCACCGCTGCTGGACAGTGGTGTCCCTCACGTGGAAACGTGCGAACCTGCGGCCAGCGGTCATGCTCCACACACAGGGACACTCTGCGCCCTGAGCTGTGGGGAGGAATGCACCCGTCTGTCTTAGCACAGCAGCAGCAGCGGAGCCCCCTGCAGGTGGGGAGAGGCTGCTGAGAGCTAAGGCGTGGGGGAAGTCCGGTCCTCACCCAGCGCAGAGCCTCGGAGTTGGGCCTCGAACACAGAGGTGAACATGGAGAGAAGCCAGCCAGTGGCAAAGTGTAGGGCGAAACCTGCGTGTGAAATGTTCTGTGCATCCCTGTGCACACGCGTGTGCCACACTCATGCTACAAGGCACTGGCACACTGCAGCTCCAAAGGCCAGAGCCTGATCCTTATGGAGGCAGAGGGTCCTCGGCAGCTGGTGGATAGGAGTCCCTGCACCACCCTGCACAGTGTCCGCAGGTGGGGTAGGAGCAGGACTGCACCATGTGTGGGTGAGCACTGGCCCGTGGCTGGCGCTGGTGGGGGTCTTGTATGTCAATGCTGTCAGTCTGTCTGCCTGTCTGTATGTCTGTGTGTGGTCTCCAGGAAGTCCCGGGACTGGTGACTGCAGAGATGAGCAGGTAAGAGCTGAGGCCATGCTGGGCTCCCTGGCCACCCTGACCTAGCTCCTGGGGCTGAGGTGAGTGTGGGGAAGGTCCAGGATTCTCTAGTAGGGACCAGCCCTTTCCTAACCAAGAGAACACGAGAGAGGGGCCACTGGGCCCCCGCTCACCATGTGACTCTGAGCACCTTCAGACCAGCTCCATGCCCTCCCCAGCCCAAGGGGGCATGGAGGCTCCAAAGGGCCGCTCACCTGGTTGCAGCAGGCCACGATGACGTGCTCGGGCTCCGGCATGACGACGCTCTTCTGGGCCACCAGCGTGTCCTGGGTGTGGCCGGGCAGACGGTAGGAGGAGAAGAGTCCGTGGTACTGCTTCATGCAGAGGGGCTGCCCCGACAGCTGGCCGGTGGCACAGTCTGTGGGGAGGGCGTGGCTGGAGAAGCGGAGGACAGGCAGCCGTGAGGGAGGGCGGGGCGGGGGGACCTCAGCATCGGTTCTCTCATAGCTTTGTGGGGTGCAGAGGATAAAGCTGAGGGCCTGCGCGTGTCAAGGAAGTACTCTAGCATGCAGCATGACCTGCACCCTGTTGTAACTTGGTTAAGGAAAGCGGCACCAGACTCAGCCCTGCTTTCCAAAGTCAGCTGTGGCTCAATCCTCCAAGCTTGGAAGTAGCAAAGCACCCCATTTCTGAGGCCCACGGAGATCCTCAGGGTTCCCAAACCTCTGCTACTCTTCCTCACCCGGCTCACACGCTGCATGTGGAGATGCACCTGCTGTTAGCCACAGTGCCTTTGCAGTGCCGATCTTTGCTTGGCATGCTTTTGTCTCTACTCTGAACTCTACTGTTCCGCTTCCTCTCCCTCTGAAGCCTCCTCATCTCTTCCAGAAGCCTCCTCTGAGTTCAAGGTGGAACATTCTCTTTGTCCTGTGGTCTCTGCATGACTGTGTCTGCCATTTCCCCTCCTTTCCATCCACGTGTCCACCATGCACCCAATCATCCATCAGTTGTCTATCCATCCACTTATCTGTCTGGTCAGCCAGGCACCTTGCATCTGTCCATGCACTATGCATCCATCCACCCACCCACCATCATGCATCTACCTGTCCATGCATCCACCCACCTACCATCCATTTATCCATGTACTATCCATCCACCCAATACCCAACCATCTAGCGTGCATGCATCCATCCATCCATCTATCCATTCACCATCCATCTACCACCCATCCATTTTCCAACCCATCTCTCAACTCCCTATCTATCCATTTAGCTATCTATCCATCTCCTATACATGCAGCTCCATCTATCCATCCATGCATCCATCCCTCCATCCATCCAGTCATCCACCCATTTTCCTATCCAGCCATCCATCTACCTGCCATCATCCACTCAGTTACCATCCACTCATTCATCCCTTCATCCATCCACCCACCCATCTACCACTCCCCAACCCATCCTTCCACCCTTTCAGAAGTATTTGCTGAGCACCTCCGATGTGTCAGGCACCTTGCTGAGAACGGTAGCAGACAAGGTGCAATCTTCCTGTTCTGATGGGTGCATCTTGGGGTACGTGGGTGGAGAACAGACCACAAGTAGCAGTCAGAAAGAGGAGGAGAATTTCAGCCAGTGGTACTGGGGGACTGGGAGGAGATGGCCGTGGGTGGGCACGATGGGTCCGTCTGACAGGGTAAGACGCTGCCTCTCGATCCCAAACCTCATGGCCAACCCACGAGATGAGTGGCAGGCACATGCTCAGCGATGTGGTGGGCATTTATGTCCAAGGAATCCCGTAATAATGTGTTGGTGCCTGTATAACATTTTTCTACTAATTCTTTGAAAGTAGCCTGCCCCAGAGGAGGCCGGAGAGGCGGCCAAGGCCAGTCCTAGGCCCCAGCGGCAGGGGTAGGGTTAGCATTGCCCTCCTGGCCCAGTGAAAGCCTTCGGAAGCTTTAGGGACCTGGCCCGAGGTCCACATGCCCACTCTGAGGAGTCTGAACTCAGACCCAGGGCCTCTCTGCCCCTGGCATCTGGAGCCCTGACCTGCGCTCAGGGCAGCCACTGGCCCCAACCTTCAGCCCGATGTGGGCAAAGCCAAGGGCTGGACCCACTTCTACCCCACCTCTTCCTTCCTTCCTCCTCCTCTCCTGGCCAGGTCTACTCCCCCGTGGGCACAGCAGTACAGAGATGGGGGCTTTTCAAAGTCCAAGCAAGGGCCGAGGAAGAGGGGCCCTTGCGGGTCAGCCCCGTGGGCTCCTGGACACCCTGGTGCTGAGCAGGAGGCAGGGGACATGGGCTCTGTGACTCAGGCCGGGAACGTGGAGGGGAGGAGGTAGGGCCCCGGCCCCCAAGCTCCCTGGCTGTGCCACACGGGGCAACTTCCATGCCGGGCCGGCCTACCTGTCCAGCAGGGCCTTGTAGCTGAGCACGCCCGAGATGAGGCTGGCCGCAAACCTGCAGAGACAGACGGGCCTGAGCCAGCCTCCACCGCTCCCCCCTCCTTCCTCCTTTCTTCCCTTCCTTTCCTCCTCGCCCTACCTTCCTCCCCCTTCTGCTGCTCCAAAGGCAACCATCACCCACCATTTCCCACCCCCCCAAACTAATGGACCTGGTTCCTGCTGCGCCCCACCCCAGGCCCTGCCACCATGCTGTCTTGGATTAAAAATGTTCTGCAGGGAAGAGGGGACACCGGAGTCACCCGAAGAGGAGGGAGAGGATGCAGGAGCAGCCACAGGAAAGGGCTGGACGGCCAGGGCTGGGGCTTTCCCTGGGATAGGCCAGCACAGGGGCTGGACAGGGCAGGGCCCCTGGGTTCCAGGCAACCCAATCTCTTGGGAAAAGTCTGTCATTTGGCTTGGGAACGTGTGTGCCATGCCAGGGAGAGGCCCAGGGATCTGTGTGGGCGGCGAGGCCTGGCTCAGCGGGGGGGCCCTCTCACATCCACCCATCCACAGCAGAGGGGCTGCCGGCCTGGCTGGGAGTGGACGCGGGGACTCCTGGCCGATTGTCCTGCCGCTGTCCTCAGCCCACTGTGACCTGCCCTCCTCCTGATGTCTCCACCGCCTGCCACCACCAACACCATCATCATCGTGGACCCAGCCAGCCCAGACAGTTGGCAGTGGGGACCCCGGGCCCACAGAGGCTTTGGGTGCCTGGCCCTCAAGGGCAGCAATGTGCCCGGGCCACCTGAGGCTGCACCTGAGCTGGTCACTGGTGTCCTGGAAAGTCTGCCGGGCGAAGATTACGGCAGGGCTGGAGTTGACCGGCAGGGCCAGGCGGTTGTTGAGATACATGTCGTTCAGCCAATACTCGGACACCTGCCAAGCGCACAGGAAGGTGCCCAGTCACCCAACGGCTCCTGAGCCCTGAGGGAGCCTGAGCACACATAGTCATTCAAGAAACGTCGCCAAGCTGTGGCTGTGCCCAACAGGCCTGCCTGTCACCTTGGGTACAGTTCCCCTTCCCCCATTGTGCTCCTGTCCCTCCCGCACCCTCCTCTGCCCAGCTCCCTCTTCCTCCTGCCCTCCAACGTCTCTGCCCCCACCCTGTCTCTCACCCTGCTGGCCCTCAGCCTCACCTTGTCCACCCAGCCCGTGCCACCCTTCTGTCCCCATCTGCTCCCCATCTGTGTCACCTACCTGTCCCCACCAGAACCCCTCTGCCTGTCCCACGTCTACCTCCTGCTTCTGCCCCTGGAGTCCCTGCTGGAGCTCACCCAGTTGTCTGTCTTTTCCTGTCGCTCCAAAAGCTTCTGCTGCAGGGTCTCCCCGAGGCCACCAGGAGCCCCGAAGCGCTGCACGATGGCCTGGCTCCTGTGGAACTGCTCCTCGGGCACCAGGTGCCGCATGCTCCGCAGGTAGGTGGCCAGCGTCTGCTGCAGCGGGGGCACTGGCAGCTTGGGCAGCCCCTGGTGGAGAGGGCACAGGCTTTCACTGCCCCCGTGTGGAGCCAGCACCTGTCCTACCCCTGCTCCCCAGCCTGGGGCCTGCAGCTAGGGTCTGCTCACTCGAAGCATCGAGGAAAGATGCTCCTTTTTGCTGTCCCTGCCTCCATTACAGGGCTCAGGGGGGCCAAGGGGCAGAGGAAGACCAGGCTGCTGGCATCAGACCCCCCTGGCTCCTGCCCGAGCCCGCTGCTGACCATGGGGATGTCCTTGCCTTGCCTGTGTTTTGGCTTCTTCTGGTGTCACAGCTGGCAGCCCTTAGCTCCCACAGGACCCCGGGGATCCCCGCCGGAAGTGCTCCCACCCTAAGGGATGCGTGCTTGCATCCATCATTGACACTGTTGGTGGTGGTTATGCCTCATTTAGGGAGAGGGCTGGGCACTCCGGGGCAGCTGTGGTGGAGGCAGGGGTCAGTGCTGCTGTGGCGACCAATCAGAACTCTGCCAGATGCCACCAGGGAGAGGCTGGCGCTCCCACCTCCCCATCATGGAGCCAGGAGGGGCTTTTGTTCCCTGTGGACAGGCAGCCCCCAAGCACCTCACCACAGTGCATGACAGGGACAGGAGGGGACTTAGCGAGGGGACAACGGCCCTGGGGGGGGGGCACAGAAAATGATGTGATGCTCCAGCCCCATCTTCCAGAGGGAACCCTAAGTCCTAAACTCAGAGTCCGGTTGGGGGCGCCAGGGCCCCACAGCTCCCCCCTTCCCATGGGCACCTTGTTTCCGGCTGGGCAGCAGGCTCATGGGGGGTCATGGAGCCAGGGCCAGGATGTCCCCCACAGACACATGAGGAAACTGGGTGCACAGTAACGGAAGTAGTCCCACCAGAAGAGTCTGTCCGCATCTCTCTCTGGGGTCCTGCTCTACCCTTCCCCGTGGCCTCCCGCCCCACCTCACCCCTTCTTTCCCGATGCCTCGTTGGACTCCTGACTGTAGGACTTTTCACATCACTGCTTAAATTGTACAACACTGGCCAGGCATGGTGGCGCACGCCTGGAATCCCAGCACTTAGGAGGCTGAGGCGGGAGGCTCCCTGTGAGTTTGAGGCCAGCCTGAGCCACCTAGCCAGACCCATCTCAAAACAAAACAGAAACACACTGGCAAACAGTGGGCTGCCTGCCTTCAAGGCCTCTCCTCTTGGACTGGCTACGTCGTCCCCCAGAGACAGCAGGGGCTCCCCGACCCTGGTGGAGTGGAGGGTCCTCAAATCCTGGGTACAGGTGAGCAAGCACGTGAGTGCATGCTGAGGTGGGTGACAGTCCTTGCCTGTCCAATCTGTCTCCACAGCCTGGCAGGTGGGGTTTCCAGGCCAGCAGAGGACAGGTCTGGGCAGCACGCCGCCTGCCCAGCTCCCCCAGTGAACTAGAGCTACGCCTCGCTTGCTCCAGTCCCTCCTCCTCCAGGGTTTGTGGGGGTCTGTGAGATCCGAGGGTGGGCTGGTAGGAGGAGCCAGAGTGCCAGTCAACCTTTGTCACCGAGGCTGGGCAAGACGGAGGACTGCCCACCAGGGAGGAGGCACTGCCTGTGGCTGGGGAAGAAGATGGTGCCTGTGCCCCAGGGCTGCGTGTGACAGGGCTTGGCACAGAAGGCTGTGCCACCCTGAGCCACTGCATCACACTCAGAGCCACTGGGAGGAACCAGGACAAGCAGCAGCTCTATAGACCCAGGATTAGCTAAGTGGCCTGCGGCATCCCTGGGGCCCTTGACCACCCCCAGCACATGCAGGCTCAACCCAGGCACAGGTGACGGCTGAGGGCCAGGAACACTTGCCATCAAGTGGGTGGAGAGAGGACCCCAAAAGTCACTCACAGGCTCCTTCTCACTGTTGGGGGTGTCTGTAGCCACTTCACGGGGGGCTTTTTCCAAAATGGGCATCTTGGTGACTCCTGGTCCCAGGTGGCCGATGTGGTACCTGGGGACAGAGAAGGTGAGGCATCAACACAAGAGTGACCTGGCTCTGCTGTGACCTTCACCTCCCATAGCCCTGTCCAAAGGAGGCCACAGGCTGACCAGAGAACCTAAGAGCCTTGCTGTAGGCCCGGCTCCTGTCTCAAAATCAGACCTGTCCCAGATCACAGTGGGACCAGCAGGTCCTAGAGCTGTATCCAAGAGGATACAGGCTCCCAAGGCCACTCACTGCCCCAGTGCAGTCCTGGAGGGGACCTGGCTGGCCCACTCCCTATGCACCAGGGGCCACCAGCTTCACTCCTCCTGGGTCCAGCTGCTGTGTGCTTGGTGGATTAAAATCTCACTTCCCAGTAGACTGAGTTTCTCACAGGTAGGACGAGACCTACACGCTCAGCACTCCATCTCTGGGGGCTGGCCCCGGACTGGCGTAACATAAAGGTGGAAAGGCCCCCTCGAGGGCCTGAGCTCCAGGGGGTGTCCGGTGGTGGGGAGCATCCTTGGACCTGCTGGACGGCTGTGACTTGGGCAGTCTGGTGAGCAGGACGCTCATGTAGACACCATGAGGATGTGGAAGGAGGGTGGCCAGGACCCCTCAGAGTCCCCCAGCAGCCTGGGGTCAGGCAGATCAGCCTGGGAGGTGTGGGAGGAGTGAGCCAGGCTGGGAGGGGCAGAGGCTGGCTCCCAGGGCAGCCGGCTACCACCTCCTCCCTTGAGGTGCCCCTAAGCCTGGGCCTGCAGAGCTACACAGCCAGGGCTTCCACCCACGCAGCCTCTACTTTCTTCCAAGAGTCCAAAGCCAATGTTGACCCCATCCCTCCACCATCACCACTGGTGCCCAGAGCCAAGCACAACCCGGCCCTGGCAGATTCCTTAGCTGGCTCTGGAGCAGAGCATCCAGAGAGACAGCTGAACCAGGCCCAAGCACAGAGCATCCTGGCTCTGTCTGGCCCCACTGCGGAGCATACGTGATGCCCTTGTAGATGGGTTCGGGGTTGCTGGTTGGGTAGTCATCAGGCCCAGCTAAGCCTAAAGACCAATGGCGGGGCTGCCTCTGACTTAGGGGTGGGGGCATGGCCGAGTGCTGTGAGTGCCACAGGGCAAGGGCAAGCTGGCAAAGGCCCTCCAGATGGTACAGCTGTACCTCCTCTGCCTCTGGCTGGCTCTGGGACCCGAAGGGCAGGTGTCACAGACCCCATCCCAGGGATGCCTTCCTATGCCAGCCCCTCTTCCTCCTTGGCCCTTGGGCCCCCACCTCGGGCCATGTCTGGCTTTCCACCTGTCTGTCTGATGTGCTCCACTGAGCTTCCACAGGCTTGGCTGAGGAAAGCCACCAGGAGGGCGACTCTGCTGTGCCCTGGAGTCCAGCCCCAGTCTGGTCCTGCATTACCGCTGACTCCAGCTGCGGCCACTCCCCCACCCTCCCTGGTCTGGACAGAGCATGGTGCTCATGGGTGCTTTGGGTGCTTGGGGTGAGCACACGGACCCTCCCACCCGGCATAGAAAACGCAGATCTCGGAGCTCCCAGGCATGGAGAACCGTGCATGAGTCCCGCAGTCCCCATAACCAAGCCTCTCCCAGCCCAGGCACCCTAGCTGCCGAGTCCTGACGTCCCCGACGGCCGCGGCTGCCACAGGCGCTGCCACAGGCTTGGGGGACTCCGGCGCCACCCTCTCCTACATCCCAGAAAGTCAGCGCCCAGATGCAGCCCTGCTCCCAGCCCACCCAGCCCTCTCACCTGCTCTCCTGCGCTCCTCTGTCTCTGCCGCTGCTGCCCCGCGCCGAGCAGACTGGGGCGGGGGTGTGAGCCGGGGATCAGGGGCGGCGCGTCAGCAACGCGGAGTGGGGGCGCCGCGTGGGTCCCCGCGGCTGCGGGACTGGCTGCCGGGAAGCGGGCGCGCCTCTTCTCTCCTTCTCCTCCCTCCCTTCGCTCCTTTCCCTCCCTCCCCCGCCCTCTCCCTCTTCTCTCTCCTCCACTGGCCTCTGTCCCCCGAACCCCACCCGCGATCCCGCCCCCAACCCGGGTACCTGCCCAGACGGCTTCCTGGCGCTCTCCGACACCCACAGTCAACTCCAGGCCTGGGCCTGGGGCTCAGAGCACTGTCGTGCCCACGCCCCTTGCGCGCCCCCCTTCCTGCCTGGCCTCCTCCATCTCCGGATCCCCAGCCCCAGGATCCCTAGGCTGCTGCCTACGCAGAACCCTGCTGAGTGTTGGGGTCCCAGAAAACCATTGCCAGCCACGGCCTGGCTCAAACCCTCCTTTCAAAAGAACACTGTAAGGAACCGGGCTGTGGACTGGCGGAGGACCTCCCTTCCCTCTCCATTGCGCCTTTCAGCCTCTGGCTCTTAGGATGCGTGTTGGCAGCAGGAACAAGACTTGGGCCACCCTGATGGCAGACAGGTTGGCGCACCGGGACAGGGGTGGGAGGCAGACACGCGGGGACAGAGCTGCCCCAGTGGACAGTCCCCAGATGTGCACACAGAGGTCTCGCGGCCACACAGCGCTCCGACACACGCAGCCAGGCCGGTAGACCAAAAAGGCGCCCCTAACCCCGCGCATCTCCTTGGGGAGTCCCAGGACTCTGCTAGGGTGGGGGTTCTAGGGCTGAGGGTCTCCCCCACCTGCGCCTGGGGCTCCCCGAATGGGAACCCAGGATGGGAAACCTTCCTGACGGCTGCTTCCATTGAGGACGGAGCAGGGCTGGGGGTTGGCACCACGTCCCTCCCGTCACCTCTCCAACCCTCCTGGCTCGGTCACCCAGACCAGAGCCCAGCGCTAGACCTAACATTGGGCCTCCCGAGGCGGCGCCCCGAGAAATGGGCCCCATTTTTCTCCCGCAGCAGCGCACAGCTTCCTCCCCGCTTCTTTCTAGAAGCCTGGACGGGCGCGACGCCGGCGGAAAGGGAAGCGCAGCCCGGGCTCCCCGGCGCTTAGGCGGGTTCTGGGCGTGTCCTCCAAGGGCGGCCGCCACTAAGCCGCAGGCTCCCCCAGGCGGCACCCCTGGGCGCTGCGCTGGGCGCGGGGAGGAGGGGCTGTCTCTGGGGACGGGAGCCTGCTGTGAGAGCCCCGCAGGGTTTGCTGTCTCTGCGGGGCTTTCCTGCTCTCCGGTGTGCGTTGTCGGGCCGGGTTTGAGCTGGGAGACCACTCACCCTCCCGCTGCCCGGGCTCCAAGCGGATCTCCCACCCCCAGCAGTAAAGAGACTCGGCCTCCTCCGACAGACACAGTTTATTAATTCGGCCCGAGGCACCGCGGTGCGACAGGACGAGTTTGGCACTGGGAGGAACGCAGGGGAGGACAGACAGACGCGCGGCTCTGCGCCGGGCAGCTTATTGATTGGCCCACACAGCGCTTTCCCTCTGCGCAGGGCACAGTGGCTTCGGGGTCTCCAAGGCTCTACTTGACCCAAGGTCGAGAAAGAGAACTAGGGAGCGGGCCCGGAGAGGGCCCCCGGGCGGGCGAGTGAACACTGGACAGAGGAGGGGCTGGGGTGCTCGCGGGAGGGGCCCTGAGCCTGAGTTGGCGCTAGCAGTGCAGCCCCCCGGACTCCAGGGGGAAGGGCGGGCGGCCTGGAGGAGGGGCGGGTGCTAGCTGCGGGTGTGGTAGTAGGTGTAGTCATCCTCGCACCCATCAAAGGGGCCGGGAGGGCTGCTAGGCTCGCCGTCCTCGCCCGGCGCGGTGCGCTCCCGCAGGCGCACCGCGTCGTACAGGCCCTGGGGGGGCTCGTCCAGCAGCACGTCGCGCTCGGAGCGGGAGCGCGTCAGGAGGCCCACGTTGCGCAGGACTAGCAGGACCGGCGCGTAGAGCAGGTTGGCCAGGCCCATACCCAGGCTGAGCTGCTCGAAGCCCAGGGAGTGCACGATGTGGCCGGCCACGATGGGCCCGAGCGCATACGCCACCGAGTAGGAGATGTCGGCGATGGCGTAGACGCTGCCGTAGACCGAGACGTGGCGCACGTCCACCAGGAAGGCCAGCGTGGGCAGTAGCGCCGTGTCCACCAGCGCGATGCCGAAGCAGAGGCCGCAGAGGGAGACCACGAGCGGCGCGAAGGAGCGGCAGGCGGACACCAGACAGGAGCTGACGCCGATCACCGCCAGCCCCAGCGCGCCGTAGAGCCACTGCAGGTGCGGGTAGCGGGCCGCCAGGCGCACGGTGAGGTAGACGCCCAGCACGTGCGGCACGAAGGCCGGCAGCCAGACCATGCCCATCTCCCACTCGGACGCAGCCAGCGTGTGCTTCATCCACGTGGCGATGGTGGGCTCCAGGAAGGCCAGGGGGACGTTGCAGGTGGTGAGCGCGCCCGCCGCCACCGCGATGTAGGGGTCCAGCATGAGGCGGTGGATGGGCGTGCCCACCGGCAGGTTGGCCCGCGCCCTAGCCGCGGCCGAGAAGGGCTTGGCCACCACCAACAGCAAGAGCGCGTCGAGCAGCGACACGGCCGCCAGCACCAGGAAGGGCACGCGCTTGCCGGCAAACTGATAAAGGATGCCCCCGAACGGCGGCGCCACCAGGCTCCCGAAGCTGATGAAGGCCAGGGCCAGGCCCAGGGCGCGGCTGCGCTCCGGCTCCTCTGGGTACTTGTCGGCGATCATGGCGATGCCGGACGTGTCGGCGAAGGCCGAGCCCAGGCCCTGCAGGCTGCGCGCGGCGAAGAGCGTGGCGTAGTCCTCGGCGAAGGCGAACAGCGCCGTGGAGGCGAACATGACGCCCAGCCCGATGAGCAGCGGCACGTCGTAGCTCATGCGGTCGATGAAGGGCCCGCTCAGGGGGTTCACCAGCAGCTGCAGGATGGCCTTGGAGGCGAACAACACCCCGATCTTCACGTCCTCGCTCTCCGTGGGGTAGCGGGGCCTCAGGGTCAACCAGGACGGGCCCGCAGCCGTCGGGGGCGCCGAGGCGTTGGCCACGGAGGAGGCGTTGGGGGCCGTGGCCGTGGGCGGCGGCGGGGTGGGCGTCCAGCTTTCAGTGGCCAGGGTGGCGCTGTCGCCGCCACCGCCGCCCCCGCGCATGTGGGCAATGTAGTCAGGCACGATGGGCACGATGACCATGTACAGCATATTGTCCAGCAGCAGAGCCACGCACACGATGACCAGCACCAGGCGCCTCTGTCGCCGGGGCTCCTGCAGCGCTGCGCCCACCGCTTCCGACAGCTTGGCCGCAGCGGCCCGGGCCTGGCCCTCGGGCTCCATGCCTCCCGGGCGCTGCTGTGCTCCGCGAAAGCCTCCGCCGCCGGGGTCCGGGGTGGCGCCCCGCAGTGCAGAGACCCGGGGAAGCCGGGGGCGCGGTCCTTCCGAGCAGCGCCCCCTGCGCCTCAGGTGTCGGCGGGGCTCATGTCCGGCGCCTGGGCGAAGGCGAGCGCTCGGGCAGCTCGGGCCGACGGGGACCCTGAGGCGCCGCGCTCATGTGCGGCTGGGGCTGTAGGTGCGCAGAGGGGCGGGCGCGGGGACCGGGCGTGCAGGACACCTCGCCGCTGCCCGCCGCTTGCTCGCGCGATCGCCGTGCTCCCCTCCCTCGCGCCGGCTCCTGCCTCCGCGCCGCCGCCGCCGCCGCCGCCGCCGCCTCTTTTTTCCCTTCCACTCGGGGCTGTGACGCGGCGAGTCCCGGCCCCCGAGTGGTGCCCCGGCCACTTGCGTCGCGCATGCTAATGCGACGTCGGCGGGGCGGGGGCCGGGGGCGGGGCGCGGCGAGCGGGGGCCCGCGCCCCGGAGGCGCGGGGCTGGGAGCCCGGAGAAGGGGTCTGGGCCGGCAGCTGGGGATGGGCGCGGCATGGGCGGAGCCGGCGCCGGGTTCCCCCGGCTCTGAGACCTGTGGGGCGGGCGCCCACTCTTCTCCCGCTAGGAAGCGGGTGCGGCGCGGCTCCAGATCTCCGCCTTAGCCTGGATTTCGGCGCGCAGCGGGCAGGGCGCCCCCGAGGTGAGCCGCGCGCGTCCATCTGTGCTCTCAGCGGGTGCGCGGAGCCCAGACCCGAGGGGCGCCGGGCACGGACCCCCCCCCTCGGCTCCGCCCTGGGCTCTTTCCACCCACGGGGCATGGAAGGGGAGGCTGGAGGCTTGGAGCGGAGTCCCACCGGCCAGCCCTTGGGCAGAACATCACCGCCGCTAATCCGGGCTGCAAGCCTGGAGAGACTGAGGCAAGGATTGCCTCACCCCAGCTCAGGGTGCTTAATGCCAGCCCGGCCGCGCTCACCCTGCCGCGCCGCCCGGGCACCCCAATCCAGGACTCCCGCTCCCCACCTTGCTGTGGGGTGCTCCTGCTCCGCCTCCTCGCTCCCTCCCCACGCTAACTCCTCCCAGACCCTCTGCGCTCCTGCTGGAGCGCCCTGGGCTCTGGGAGCCTCCGCCCACTTTCTACCCTCCTAACCTCCCACTCCCGGAGCTGCCGGTCTGGGGCTGCAGGAGAGGGGCGGTTAGGGTCTCTCCCAGCCTAGGAAGCCCCGCCTAGGCGCCGCGCAGCTCGCTAGCCAGGAGCTCGCTCTCCGCGACCATCAGAGGCTGTGGAAGGAGGCCCACCATCCCAGAGCGCTGCGCCTCCAGCCCTCTTCTCAGTCCCAGGCTGAGCTGGCCAGGCCCGGTGCTGGGCCTGCTGTATCCCCCCAGAACTTCGGCCCGAATGGCACCAGAGAGCCGCTGGGGGGTTCCAGTCCCTGGGCTGGTGGAGAGTGGCTGGTAGCTAGCCAAGGTTGAGGGGCTGATGGTGTCCAGATTACACTTGTCTCTCGCTCTGGCCTGGCGTCAACCCCGATCTAGTATCAGGGGCAGCCGTGTCTTCCAGCCGCGTCCCGCCTGCAGCAGGGAGCTAGGTGAGAGCGCTCACTACAGCTTCCAGACAGAAACGGCCACTGCAGGTGCTCCTTTGGGAAGGAGAATTAACTCATCAGATGGCCTTTATTGGGCGTGCACGGGGCCTCCAACTTATTCCACACCCTCCACCCCACCCCAGCTGGCCCCACACTGTGATGTCACCTGCCTGGCTCTTCGATCGATCGATCGATCATTAGAGTTTAAGACCCATGAGGTCCTCATGGAGGCTCTCTCAGTACCAGGAGTACCATTAGAGTTTAAGACCCATGAGGTCCTCATGGAGGCTCTCTCAGTACCAGGCTTTGCAAGGGGGCAGCCTCCTGGAGCGACAGGAAGCACGAAAGGACTTGAGGCAGGAAATTTCTTTCTTGTGGCTGGAGGACGGGAAGCTCTTCAGGAAGAGAAACGGTCCCCGTGTTGCCCAGATACAGACCCCCTATCCAGCTCTCTGGCCCACATAATGCAGGACCATTGCTGAGCATGGAGCCGAGCTCTCTGAGCTCTGGGTTCGCCTCTACCTCTGTTGCTGTAATGCAGGAAGTGATCTCATTTATTAAGCCATTTCTGTGTGCCAGGGGGAGGTGGGGTGCTTCTCTCTGTCCCCCTGAGTTCTGGTGTAGCTCCAGCTCCCTGGAGGAGGAAGGCAGACATGGAAAGGCTGGGCCAGTGTGCTGAGATCTCTGCAGCAGAGTCTGGATTTGAACCCAGGCCGCTGGACCTACTTCCCTGTTTCTGCACCTCATTACACCCCCTCTGCCGCTTCAGCAAAGTGACAGGCTGGGGCAGAATAGGGGAGAGGAGCAGGTCAGGACCCATAGGGACTGGACTGGGTCCCTCAAGGGGCTGGGGACACTAAGCTTCATTCCTCAGCTTCCGGATCACACGCAGCCCCCTTCCATCTCCAGCCTCACGGACTGGGGCACAGGAGTCACAAGTAGGCGAGGACCCAAAGGCTTAGCCAAATGACCCCCTGAACCCAGCAGGACTCTGAACAGCCGAGTTTCCGGAGCTGGCTGGAGCTGTCCGTGGTGCTGACCGGGCTCACCCTTGCAGCCTTACCGCCAAGGGTGCCATCCCCTGGGTCTTTCTGTGTCTGTGGGTGTCCTTTGCCCTAGAACCTTGGTGATGCCTCACCTGAGCCTTCCTATGTAAGCATAACTAATAGGCCAAAGGCGACTTCTTACCCAACTCTGTAGGGCAAAATAGAAGCTTTCATCCCCCCTTTCTCTTCTGGGCTCTCCAGCTGCTGTTACCTGGCACATATCTGGCTCCCCACGGTAACTTGAATTAGACTGACAGACACTGTTCTAAGCATTTAGCAGATATTAAGTCATTTCATCCTCTCACCGACCTTCACATCGCCTGTTGATAGGGATGCGAGTGAGGTGACTTAGCCACAGGCAGAGAGCTGAAAAGTGCTGGAGATGTATTCCAAAGCACGTGGCCTAGATCTGGCTCCCAGCTCCCAGCCACTGTGCCCTCCTCCTGCATGAAGCCAGTGACCATGAGAAGAATTGCACTACAATATCTCCTAATGCTCAGTGTTTAGTAGGAGCTTCATTGTATTCTTATGCTTGGGGACTACTTGAGGGGGCAGCAACTTTGCTGCTTGTTTCATCCAAGGGACGCTGCAGAGGCCTCCGTTTGATAAGCCAAAGTGTGTTCCAGGCTGGACTGGTGCCATGGGGGAATGGCGTGGGTGCTGGGGAGTCCTGGTGGGTGGTTTTGGGGGAGGATATGAGAACAGCTATTGTGTACGAGCATCTGAGTGAAGTCTGGTGCACCATGTAAGGGGCTCTTGGGCAGGTTGTGGGGTGGTGGGTGCCACTGTGGGGGGTCACCAGGCTGGGCCGCATCAGTTCTGGTGCTTTGGCATTTGTTGCTTCCTGGTGATGTCAGTCCCAGAGACCGTGTGTCTGAGGAGAAGCTGGGTGGTGTGGCGGTGGCAGCGTGTGGGCTGGGCGCCCGCTCCTGATTGATTATTTCTTTGTCTCCCGGGAAGCACTTAAGTGCGGGCTTGGTTCCAAAGGAGCTCATGTACCTCTTTGGATTCCAGCACTGGGGGTGGGGGTACAGCATGCCTGGGCCTCGCTATCTGTCCCTGTGCACTGCCCTGGGAGGGCCTGGGGGCCTCGGCATCACTTAATTAATTTAGGCTTCTCCACCCACATATTCTCAGATCCAAGGAACAGAGCAGCCCGTGTCAGCCTTTCCCGGAAACCTATGAGCCTGGTGGCTGGGCGCCAGAGGATTACGTGCCTGCCCTTGGCCAGTGCGTCCTCAGCTCAGACCGGCCTTGTGCACACATAGGATGCATGAGTCGGGATGGAGAGGGATACAGCTCCTGCACCACAGCAGGCCTGGATCCCCCTCTCGGCTCCCCATGGGGTGCTGTCCCCTGCCTCCCTTCCAGCTTCTGACTCTTCTCCTGCACCATTGGTTGGAAGCAGAGATCAGCAGGGCTTCAGGACCTCTTTGGTTTCCACCTTGCATTTGCTCTCCACCAACCCGCTGAAGGTCTTTCTCCTTTCTCCACTGAGACCACCCCCATCTTCCGGGCCCAGGCTGTGTCTCTCCCCAACACTGGGCCTGCAGCACCTCCCAGCTTGGCCCCTGCCTTGCTATTTGCGTGGATGCCGAACTTTTTTTCCCTGTGAAATTCTAGGCAGGCTCTCATCCGCCTCACAGAGCCCCCCACCTCACAGAGCCCCTCACTGCCAGGGGTCAGGGCCCAGGCTCCTCCCCCAACCTGGGGGCCTTTCTGTCCTCCTCTTCCTCATCAGCCCTACAAGTTCACAACTGTGCACCTGGGAACCAGTGCTCTTGGGCTTCACAGGCCTTTCATTCCTGATATCTTGCAAACAGCACCCCCAAACCTTGAGTCTTATCATTTCCTACCCTTCTGGAAGTTAGGCCATGCATTGTTGGGGTGATTCTACCTTCAACCTGAGGGCTGTTGTTTTGTGGGGGAGCAGTGAACTGAGGATTGAACCTGGGACCTCACAATGCTAGGAAAGCACCTACCCCTGAGCTACAATCCAGCCTTTTAAATTGTGTTTACTTATTTTTATTCCAAGACAGAGTCTCTCTGAGTTGCTTTCCCTGGTCTCAAACTTGTGCCCTCCTACTCCGGCCTCCCAAGAGGTTGGGATTACAGGGGTTCATCTCTTCACCTGGCGCCTGAGCCTCTTGAAACAGAGCCTGTGATTTTCTTCCCAAGCAGTCTGTCTAGCCCTGGCTGTAGCACCTGGTAGGGGACCCAGCCAGGGTGCCCGTGGCTTTCAAACTCATCTCTGTTTATCAAAACAAAAAGTAATCACATTCTTCCCATAGAAATCAGAGTGTTACGAATGGCTGGTTTCCTCTGCCTCTGGTACTGTTTTTGTGTGTATTTTCCAAGCCATGCCTCACTCTTTTCCATACAAATGTAAGAACTCATATAAAGCTTAGCAAACAGGGCTGGGGGTTTAGCTCAGCAGCACAAGTACCTGCCTGACAAGTGCAAGGTCATGAGTTCGATCCCTAGTACCAAAACAAAACCAAAAAACTTAACAAACAAGGCCGGCTGTGGTGGTACGCACGTGCAATGCCAGGTATTTGTGAGACTTTAGAAGGCCCCTGTCTCAAAAATAAACATAAATAATAAAGAGCTGAGGATGAGCGCTGGCCTAGCATGTGCGAGGCCCTGGCTTAATCCCCAACACCACAGATAAAACCAAAAAACCACCAACTGAGAACACCAAACAAGTATTACCGTAATACAAATACTGTCATGTGTGTGTCATTCTGTGGTTCCCACCCTTCCAACTAAGAGTTCTACCCAAGGTGATTAACATCACAATAGTGTAGCCTCCCGAGCAGCCACATATGAGGGTTTGCTAAGAACACACCGTGCTTTGGCCCGCTGGCTGTCTGACCTGCGGGTGGTGCATCAGACTGGGAGTCCTGGGTGAATCCAGCTCTGATGCATTTTACATCTTCCAAGGAGTTTCCGAATTGCTTTCCAAAGGTGCTGCGGGACTGGGCACCCTGCAAGCAGCTCCTGGGAGTGCACCTCCCCTGCCGAGGCCGTGCCTGCTCTTAGGTTTTTGTCCCTTCTGTTGGATGGGAGAGAGAAGTGTCCTCTGTCATGACCATCACCAGGTTAACTGGAAGAGAGCTTCTTCATAGGCTCACAGCCCTTTGTATTCTCTGTTCTTTTTTTTTTTCTGTTGCAAAGTGCCTGTTCCTTTCTGTCTTCATTTTCCTAATAAGTCATTTGTCTTTTTCTTTCTGGTCCTAAGCATTCGCCATACTCTAAGCTGGAATATCTTCACCCTGGACATGCCCGTGATAGATGAAGAGCACTGTAACTTCTCTGCCACTGTCTCACAGTTCCTGCCTGTCGGGCGGGGTGAGCTGCATGGATGGAACCCCTCCAGGGCCTCCTCACCAGCCCTGCGGGGCCTCCACCCCACAGGAGAGATCCTTACAAGCCACCCTCTTTCATGTGGCTACAGGAACCCCAGATCTGTGGCCAGAGCCTGCACCTCCCAAACATTTAGCCTTGAGCAGGTTTACTCAAGGGCTGTAAGTCCTGGGTCTGTCTTCTGTATAGTGATACCGGTCACCCCCGCTTTGCAATTCTCTATGCTCTGACCTTATGCCAATGACTCAGCCTCTCGAAACTTTACTGCCCTTCTGTAAAATGGGTGCATTGATAGTGCCCCTTAGGGTTTGGTAGAGATGGAAGGTGCTTATTTTGGAGGCGGCCAAGCTCCCTGGCTGGCACAGAACACCCGAGTACCTGGCTATGGAATGGAAGAACACGCCTGCTGCTTGTCAGTCTTTTTTTTTTTTTTTTTTTCTTTAAAGCTGGGCTTCTCCAAAGTTTTGTCCAGCTTGGAATGGACCCAGGGACACTTAGTGGGAAGCTTATGTGTTCCTGAAAAACACCCCAGAAACACCCTGGGGTGAGTAGAAAACAGCCCCCTAATTTACCTGTTGGGAAAGCGATGAGATACTCAAGGAAAACCATGTTTTGCTGCCCGAGCTGGCCCTGCTGGGAGAAGCAGGAGCTCAGAGGCAGCTGCTGGGGGCTTCCTGCACCCCAAAGCTGCAGTGCTTGGGAAGGCAGCACTGAGGGCCAGCGTCTCCTCATGTTCAGACCTGAAGAGTGAGTTTGGGGTGAGGACACTTAGGAGGTTGGCACAGAGGGGTGCAGGGAGGAGGCTCTGCTGGGTGATGGTGGTGCTCAGTGACAGTTAGGACAGAGCTGGGGGCCGCTGTGGGGATGGGCTCTTGCCTGCTGCTCCTGAAAAGTGTGGTTTGTGTTTCTGCCTGGGACATCGGGACTTTGAAGCCATTTGGGCTTGAAGCCTGACCCCTCCCCGGGCCCACAGATGCCCAGTAGGTAACTGAAAGCAAGTAAAGCCTGACCAGTTTATAACCATCATTAGTGAAAGTCTTGGGTCAAATCTTGGCTCTCTACAGGGTGTGCAGATCATTCAGGGGGTGTCGGTCTGTCTGTCTGTCTGTAGCTGCAGGACAGCACTGATGAGCACGGGATTACATGATCTCATTGCCCTTCACGACAGAGGACACCAAGATAAGAGGCTCACAGGGACACTGAGCTACACACAGAAGTCTCCAGCCACTGTCCCAAACCTGTGTCACCTGGCCTCCAGGAAAGACAGAGGCCCATGACGGAGACCTCCACAGACAGAGACAGGCCTTTCCTGGGACGAGACCACCCCTGAGCCAGGAAGATTGCAGAACCACAGCACCAGGACAGAGATGGTGATCAGTGGGATTCCACGCCACCAGCGCCTCCCTGCAGGCTGGTGTTTGCACTTGGGCTGGTCTGAACCCCTGCAGCTGAGAGCCCCATCTCCAGCCGCCTAGCTGGCATCCGTTCTGCTTTCCCTTTAACTTTCTAGTGTAAGCCATTTCTTATAAGTGTGGACCTTGGTTTTAATGTCCATTTCTACTAAAGCGAGGGCTCATGCTAGCTGCTGACAAATTTTGGTGCTCCAGGTGAGGCTCTTCCAACCTGCTGTAGGACTCTCCTGGATGCTGCAATGAACCGAGAGTGGACACCACGGACGGTGAGTCCCCAGCAGGAAAGCCAGCTCTTCAGTCCATCTCCTGACCCTTTCTTCCCTTCCCTGGCCCTTCCGTGTTGAATTGTTTGGAGATGCCAAGGAATCAGCCAGAACTGTTTACTAATCAGAGAACTCACAAGGCCCAGGTCAGTTTAAAAGGGACATTGGACCTTTTCTTAAAATGCCTCTTGCTGCCCTTTCTCTTGACCTCTTTGTCGTTTGGGCTCTTGGGACACCAGGGAATGCTTTGATAGGTCCTTTGATTAATTGAGAATTGCAGGGCCCATTGGTTATATTGGTTGGTTTTGGATCTGTCTTGGTCACTGGGTTTTGGCTTGGAGAGGTGTTGCTGCTTTTCCTAAAATCCTTTGAGTTAGAGACAGGTCTTTTGTTGGACAGGGTGTCCAAATGTCTCAGATTTTTTTCAGCTCCTGCTGTCTGCTCTGTGCCACCCCTACACCCCGCTTCTCAGGCAGGGAGCTGTCGCTTTCGTCCCTTGGGAAATACAGATCCCCACCCTTATCTGGAACCTTTCTGCCCCTCCTTTCTTTTCCAGTCGGGGTCAGTGGACACCAGCTCCCACTCTGTCCCTCACAGTCTTTGCTCTTTGGTCTGGTTGGTTCACACTGAAAGACTTGGTTCATGTGCCCCTGTCACCTGCTGCAGAGCTGACCATGCCCGGGTTGTGGGAAACTTGTACACCCCAGCCTTCTTCAGCACCATCCCGACCCCAAATCCCTGGGTCAGTCTTTGGGGGCCCTGACCTCTCGCCAGGTTTGAGCTGTCCTGAAGGCAAAAGGACACCAGTGAGTGACTGGAGGTGACTGCTGCAGTGTCCTTCAGGCTGCCCTGGTGTCACTTTGAGAGACTGTCCTGCTCTAAACCCAGCCTCCCTGTGTCCAGTGGGGGACACTCTAACAGAGACTGGACACCTTTCCTATGAGTGAGTGGGAACAAATCTACTGAGTAGCAGGGACCTAAAAGATGAGCCCTTGGCTATCCTGACTTGGGAGTTTATTGATGTGGGTGGTTTTGTTCTGGATGGGCTAAGACAGACTATGCAGTAGTCAGTGGCCAGGAAACCCAAGACTAAGGCTCTATTTCCACAGGCTTCTGCCCCAGAAGCCAACTTCATAGCAGAGACCTTCTGCTAGCAAAGAGCTTAGGAGCCAATATATACAGCCATCCTGACATTGCGGGAGGCAGTACTTGGCCTAGGGAGGGGGCTGCTGTCCACTGCGGGGGCATCAAAAGAAAAACTCATTGTTAGCCAAGAGACACCCTGCCTGGCTGGAGAGCAAAGGCAGCTGCCCAGGGAAGCAGCGCCGTGCAGGTGGCAGCTCTGGTCTCCAATACAGCCCTGAGGAGATCACTGAGCGACTTCCAGGGCATGGGCACAGGAACCCACCCCCCCCACTGGCTTCAAAAGAAAGGCAGGTTCCTTCTTGCTGAGGAGCCACTGGAAAGTCACTGCCTGCACTGCTCATCTGGGTGAGATTCCCTGGGAAAGTTCATGTCCCGTGCCTTAGGGGAAACCAGACTGTCCCAGATCATCCGACATGTCATGAAGTTGTGAAATTTGTGCGTGAAGCCAAGCAGGCTCTCACCCTGCTCCCAACCACGAACTAACCTGCCCAGCATCGGTAAATATGTCCTGGGAGAGCTGGCAGCTGGGTTTCACACAGGTGCCCACATATGGTGGCTGTAAATACTACTAGACTCTGTGCACATTCATTGACTTTTATTTGGTTTTGTACCGGGGCTCGAATTTACAACCTTGCACTTGCCAGGCAGGCACTTATGCCACTGAGCTAAGTCTCCTAGGCACACATTCAAAGAATGTGCTGACACTTTTCCCACACTGATGGGGAAGCCCAGAAAAGTTATAAAGCCCCTCCTAAGGGAGATAACTCTGATTTGGGGTTCCCTATGAGTCTTCAGAGTCTCATCTGTGGCCAAGGTTACTTAACATCTTTCTCCAGGGAAAGACTGGTCTCCTCATGGAGACCCTGGAGACCAGTCATCTGGAGAAGTACAAGGAGTGGGCTGGACGTTAAAACATATTCTCTCCAAATTGTAGCGAGATACTAAAAGTCCTTGGCCACCTCTGCTTCCCGTAGCCTCAGCCCCACAGCCCTAGGAGTAAACTGAGTCTTAGCCCCTTTGAAATGGCAACAGGGAGACCCTTTGTGGCATCAGACATGCTGTGATAAAGAAACCTCCCGAACTTTACAGTACATTGTTAATGGGTCGGGTGCAAATGTCCTGGCCTGCTGTGGAAGATTCGGATGACCTGTTCCAGATCCAAGCTAAGCTGCTTCACTGACACAACCTAGGACTTTGCTTTGCTTCAAACATGGAAAGAGGGGTCCCCAGCAGACCAGTGACAGTCACACCATTTTCACCAAGGATCCCCACTGCAGTTAAGCTGCAGGGATCCGCTCATTGGCCCATAGCTTTAGACCCAGATCTATTTCCTGCAAGCCCGTGCACAAGGAGGACAACATGACAGCTCTGGTTGGTGTAAACCCTGAAATGAACTCAAGCTCCTGTTCCAAAGCAGAGGACACAAAATGTCCAGGACACTCAGGACTCATGACTGTGTACTTGTACCCCTGTCCAGGACCTCGATGCCCATTCGGAGGGCTACCCCACCAAGGAGAAAAGCAATGTGGGGTAACGTGTGTATCTATGGGTGGGGGATCTGCTCACCCATTCTATTCCTGTCCTTATACCTTTGTGAACCACCCCTGCCGGGGAGGAGGCTCCTTTACCCTTGCTAGATCTAATCAGATCTTAGCTACAAAAGGCATGCTCTCCATGGTGACATCACCCCTATCTAGCTGGCCCTTATCTTCCTTTCCTTTTTGGCTTATACTTTTGGACAGCCCCCTCCTCAGCTCTGCAAAACAAAGAAAGCTAAAAGACCGTTAGCCTTGTGCCCTTGGGCCCCCACCCTGCCACATACTCCTGTTACTGCTGGTTGAAGAGGAGGCTTCAGTTTCCCGCTGTGCACCTTGGTTAAATGACGGAGCAGAAACTGACCCATGACCATTGGGAAATCCCCCTGCCAAAAAAGAGCCCTTTTGGTTGTGCTGCCTGGGTGCTGGTGCAGGCACCCTTCTGACCCTTCAGGGCCACCCCTGCATTAAGCACTGTCTGTTGCTGTCCTTCTGCCCGGGGCACAGTACCATATTAGTCAGTGTTTGCAAGAAAACAGATTCAGCACAGGACACAGAAACTCACAAGAGTAGCTTCTAATATTTGCCCACAGAGTCAAATTCAAAAGAGTACAAGAGATCTGTCCTTACATTAGGGATCCAAGCAATGGAGCGGAGGGCCTGGATTCCACAGCAACCCCCGGATGCACCCAGTTGAAGGCCTAGAGCCCACAACAGTGACCCATGCAAATTTGTTCCAGGAAGCTGAGGAATCTGTGATGGAAGAATAAAGGATCTGTGCCCGAAAGTCCAAGGCTGGTGCTGGAGGCTAGAGAGTCTGAGAGGCTGGTGCTGGAAGCCGAAGAATGTATGTGATGAACCAGCGGATGATGCTCAAGGCAAAGGCACAGACCAGGGCTCCCAGCCAGAGTGAGTGTCCAGCCCAAAGGCTGGAGGATAGCACTCGAGGCAAAGGTGAGGACCAGAGCGCCTTTCAGGAGAAGGGCAACCATCCGCAGCAGAGGCGAAGACAGCCGGAGCTCTCTGAGGGAAATCAGCATGACATCCCCCCTCCCATCCCCTTTTATTCTGTTCCCTAGAATCACACAAACTCAATTAGCTGCTCGGTCCCACTCAAACTGACCATTAATTAACCACCACAACACCTGCAAGTTAGGAGGAACAGGCTTATTCTGGCTCGAAATGTGTCAAGGCTTCAGTCCCTAGTCAGCTGGCTTCAAGGCAGGGTGCCTGGCAGAAAGAGAGATCAAGGGGGGAGGAGGGAGAGACCCTTCCAGGCCATGTCCCCCGGTGACCACCTCCTCCCACCAGGCTTCACCTCCGCATCACACTGAGCTCTAACCCGCTAACATGTATCAGGCCCTCACGATCCAGTCGCCTTCCAAAGCCCTGCCCATGAGCGCGTGAGGCTTTGGGGACCATCTAGGTGTGAACCATAAAAAGCGTGGCTAAGGCCCTTTCCTGGGAGTGCCAGGCCCCTCAAAATGCAATAACCCTATGGTGCACACACCTCCCACTCACGCCATTCTTTCCGTGAACAATCACACTGAGTATCAGGTGAGTACAGCCCACCACTCCCTTGCCTGGGGAGGGGCCAGAGGGACTGGGACAGCAGGCTGGGAGGAAGAATCCTGTATTTAGTGGATGAACGCGGTGCCCAAAGTGGGAACTCATCAGTGGCCCAGAGTAGTTGGTGTGTTTCTTTCCAAACTCCTCCTTTACAAGCCCGTCATATGGTCATGCTACAGTGCATGTCTGTGCCCCCACCAGGATCCCACAGCCTCTTCCCGCATCACCCGTTACCTGTGGATGAAGACGCCCAGGGTCATGAGCCCCTGGTGTCCCCAAGACCCTTCTGTTGATCCAGTGCATTTCAATATTCCTTCTCACCTAAGTCCAGGGTCTGGGGGATATGCCTCACCCCTGGAAGGGCACGTCCCCTACTCGGAGGCCTAGAAATTTACTGTGTAACTTCCGGGGGGTCGCTCGCCTGCTCAATTCTGATACAACTCTTAATTATGTTTTTTAAACTGTTATGCTAACGGGATTTGATCTACCCTTCTTATGTTTTTAAAATTTTTCTTGTAAAACCTCGTAACTGTGGTCTGCTACTGTTCCTTCAGAGGACGATTTCCCATTGCTCAGAGCTGGGGCTTCGGGAGTTGGATTATGGGGCCTCGGCAGACTTGCTGTTAGGTGGGGTCTCCTTGGAAGGGACGTGGCCTGGGAGAGTTTCTCTCCCTTCTTGAATCCCCCTCTCCCTCTCTGCTTCCTGGATGCCAGGAGGAGAGGCGATGTCCCTCTGCCAGGCCCCTCTGCCGTGAGGTCCTGCCTTAGAGCCAGCCGACCACTCAAAGGCTGAGACTAAACAGGAGCTAAAATAAACCTCTCCTCCTTTACTGCAGGTGGCACGCATGTTGTTCCAGTGACAGAAAAGAGATAAAGGCAGCTGGGATGGGACACAGAGTCCCTGTGAAATTACACAAGGTTGAGATGACCACACCACTGTAGGACGGGAGTAACCAGCCACCTGGACGCTCAACAACTGAGCCTTAGAGACCGAAGAAGCTAAGGAGGGCAAAAAGAGCTAAAAGGAGACCTGAGACCTGGGGAGCAATGGGGCCCCTTTGAGAGGGCCTGCAGCCCTGGCGAGTCACCGAACCGCCCAGGAAGGGGGATGCTTGGAACCTTAGGAGTTGACTAAAGTGCATTATGCTGAAGGGGGATCTCTGCAGTGGGGAGCTGCCCCCCGCTTCCAAGGGAAGTCACCTTGGCAGACGGCATGATGGGTAAAGGGCTAAGGGAACTAAAAAGCCCCTTCATGTGTCCCCAAGGTAGCCCCAGGATGCCCAGGCTCACATTAATAGTGCAGGGAAGCTAATTTTGATTACCTGCTCTATCTTAAACAGCCACCAGGAGAGTAGAACCAGAGAGTGAAATCATAGTGCAAGAATAAAAAAGAAACAGTGCTTTTGTTTCTTCTTCCTTAAGGTGAGGGAGGCTGAGGTCTGCTGGGGGAGTGACTCAGGAGTGGCATTGTCTGTGACCAGCATGGATGGGGAGGAGGCAGAGCCCCGGCCTCCCCTGCTGCTCCTAAAAGCTTGTGATTTATGTTTCCGCTGGGACAATCGGGACTTTGAAGCCATTTGAGCTGTGAAGCCTGACCCCTCCCTGGGCCCACAGATGCCCAGTAGGTAACCAAGAGCAAGTGAAGCCTGACCAGTTTATAACCATCATTAGTGAAAGTCTTGAGTCAAATCTCGGCTCTGTACAGGGTGTGCAGATCATTCAGGGGGTGTCTGTCTGTCTGTCTGTCTGGAGCTACAGGACAGCGCTGATGAGCACGGGATTACATGATCTCATCGCCCTTCACGACAGAGGACACCAAGATAAGAGGCTCACAGGGACACTGAGCTACACACAGAAGTCTCCAGCCACTGTCCCAAACCTGTGTCACCTGGGCTCCAGGAAAGACAGGGGCTACGTGACTGAGACTCCCACAGACAGAGACAGCTCTTTCCTGGGCTGAGACCATCCCTGAGCCAGGAAGATTGCAGAACCACAGCACCAGGACGGAGATGGTGATCGATGAGATTCCACGACACTAGCGCCTCCCTGCAGGCGGCACTTCTGCCTTGGCAGGTGGACCAGTCTGAACCCCTTGATGAGAGTACACCCCTTCCATCTCCCCAAACTGGAGTCCACTCCTCCTTTTCTTTCCAATTAAAAGCTTTTTATCCCTGTAAACTTGTGAGCCAGTTTCTGTTTCTGTTTCTGTTTTTCCTAAAGCAGAGACCCCATGCTGGCTGGCTGGTGTCCCCAGCACCTGGGGCACTTGTGGGGCTCGGTCACCTCGGGGCTCGGATGTGGCTTATTATGGAGCTTGTCAAGCTGCACAGGCAGGTCCCGCCCCTGTTCAGTGAGGCTGAAGGTCCAGGCCTGGATGCCTGGGAGCCCTGGACAGATGGGGAGGGAGGTGGGCGTGGAGGGGGGTGGGAGGGAGGTGGGCGTGGAGGGTGGAGTCCTGGGTGGGAGCCTCAGTCTGGGCTCAGCTGTTAATGGGGCCCAGAGTGGGCAGTGCTGGTGGCCAAAGTCAGCCCAGTGCTGAGGACAAATGTCTGTCCGAGCAGCTGGAGGTTGGCCCCTGCCACTAGCAGTGCCCTGAGCAGGGGACCCTGTGCCATGATGGTCTGGAGCGGCCGTGGTGCCAGCCCTGGAGGGGCAGAAGCATTCACCGTACGCAGCCTTCAGTTCTGTGACTTCCTGGGCAGCTGGTTTTCTTCTGGGCCCCTTTTATCAGCGAGGGAAAGTGGGGTGACTGCCCAGGCAGGGGGCCACTTGACTCACCCCCACTTGTCCATGTGCTTGGCTGCCTGGCTTTGGTCTCTGGGGGCTGTGAGATTCCTCCCTGGCCTTCCAAGCCCTGCTCTGCCCTGCTGGGGTGCAGGATCAATGCAGCGCTCCCCCCTGGTATTGGGGTGGCCTGCCACAGGCTCAGAGGTGCAGGCAGCCTCCTTCTCCCCAGATATTCAGAGCTCTGCCCTTCTCCTCCTGGGACTGCTGCAGCAGCCTGTGGGAAGGTCCCCACACACCAAGTGACTGTAGTTCTGATCCCCACAATCTGTTCCCCTCATTTGCATGCAGTTGTCAATTACATTCCCAGTGGAATTATCATTAATGCTTTGTACTTCCCCTCCCCCTCCCCGCCTGCGTCCCGTGGTCCCCCTTTCCATCTGAGAATCCCTGTCACCCTGCTTCCTATTCAGTAATAACCTCAGCTCAGAAACACTTCTGTTAGCAAACAGTTCGATTTGCAAACAAAAGTGTTCAGCAAAATTTTGCTAATTCTGCATCGGGTAGCAAACACAACCAACCGAGGTCATCTTCCCCACACAAAAGCTGTCATCTTCCCTAAAGTCAGGTTCATAAACCGAGCCACTGCTGGAGCTATGGAGTATTTCGTTTTAGTCTTTTCAAGACTGGGTTTCACCGTACAATTCAGGCCGGCCTTCAACTCGAGGTGATTCTCCTGCCTCAGCCTCCCAAGTGCTGGATTACAGGTGTGACCTGCTCCTTTATTTTGATCTTTATTTGTACTTTGAGTTTCTCATATAAGAGAAACAAGCTCATGTGTGTGATTTATTTCACTTCACAGTGTAGATTCATATTTCAGAATCCTCCCCCATAGCAGCACCGGCTTAAACCAGCCAGGCTCTGGCTTCAGGTTCCCACTGCCTGGGGTCAAGGTCACCGCTCAGCGAGGCTTCTTCAGAGGCCCTCATGTGAGGTCCCACCGCCTGTGCAGGGTGCTGGGGTGCTGCTGTGCCTGCTCCACTGTGGCTGCACTGTTCCCCAACCCCACCACCAAAGGTGAACCCCAGCTGGAGACGGTCAGCTGCGTGACCCCCAGGAGGCACCTGCAGGCGGTGCTCTGGGCTGGGTTAACCCATCCCAAGTCCACTGTGGGGTGCACATGGGCGCCCACACAGTGCAGCCCGCTGAGGCTGGGCATGCTGTTCCCCCATATTTACGTTTAAATGCCCGCACGAAGGTACTGATTTCCTCACCCACCAAGGCTGCTTTGCCTTGCCCTCCCACCGGCTAAGGTGAAGAGGGCACAGGACAGGAAGGGACCTGCTCTAGCCCACGCCTGAGGACAGAGCACCGATCGGACCCCTCTGGTGACTCCTAAGACAGGAGGTCCCCGCTGGGGGTGGCTTGCAGTGCCAACCTGCTTTGACAGATGGCAGAAGAAAAGACCAAGTGGGTATTGCCACCACCCCCTCCCCGCAGGGTCCAGTGTCAGCTGGAGGTACCCAGAGAGATGCTTCCAATTCAGGACACGTGGGAAGGTGGGCCCATCACCCTGCGCTGAGGCCATGGGTGTCCGACCTGCTCCTCCTCTGAGCTCAGGGGCAGGGCTGCGACCAGCAATGGGATGGAAGGAGCCCCGGCAGGAGACCAGAGCCTTCAGTGGGTGGGAACAGCACAGGCTGTTCAGGTCAGATACTGCGGCCAGGCGACATGGCCCTCTGGTGACCTGGCCTTCTCTGGACCAGTCCAGCTAGGTGACAAGAATGCAGGTGTGCCTTTCTGCTTCCTTAGCCGGTGACACAGGCCTGCTGGGGAAGGTCACTCCGATTCAGTTGGAGACAAGATCTGCTTTGAGTGTCAGGAGCAATCAGAGCTGCTTCCTGGTGATTCATACGCAGCAAATTAAACTACATTTAAAGCCGGTGCGGGATGAATTCCTGAAGGCACCTTCGTGTCCTGTCCCCCAGAAGTGCGCTGTGTCCCCAGATACTGCCGCAGCAGGTCTGGCTGTCTGCGGCTGGGCTGGAGCTGCCCGCTGTCCTCGGGTGGCGCCTGAGGGCAGGTCAGCCTCCTTGGGGCTCTTTCCTCACTTGAGCTCCGCCCGCGCCATCTGGCAGCAGACTGTGTGACCTGGACCCCGGTCCTGAGCCAGCTCCAGACTCCCTGGTGGAGCGTTCTGCCTGCACGGTGGCTGATCAACTCAGAAAGCCTCTGTCCTGCTCCCGGCAGCTGGCAGGGGACAGCAGCAGGGCCGGGGCACCCACAGGAGCCCCTTCCTCCGAACCCCGCCTGGCTGGCGCTTCAGCTGCTGATTTACCCGCTGCGGTGCCCCACTTGAGAGTCTGTGGACCCCCTCCCCGGAAGGCAGGGAGTGAGGAGGGGAGCAGCTAGAAATGGGGAGCTGGCCACCTGGGATCCAGGGCAGTCTGGGAAGAACAGGGCGCTCCTGGCACTGAGTGGGGGGCCCAGCTGAGCACGAGGTCCCCTCTGCCCATTGCAGCAGGGCTGCCTCTCACAGACCCTGGAGAGGGAGGGTGGGAGGGAGACGGTGTCCCCAAGAAAGCTGGCGTCCAGGAAAGCCAGAGGTGGGCTGGAACAGAGGAACAGCAGGGGCTTTGCAGGAAAGGGGAGGCCTAGCTCAAGCCTGAGCAACCCTAAGAAGAGACGGAGGGAGGACAACGCTAGGGCTCTGGCTGCGTCCACCCACCCAAGTGACCCCAGCTGTGCCCTCAGCCCAGGGAGGCTGACCTCTGACCCCACAGTCACTGTCCCCCCGATGTGGCTTTAGCTTGTTTGTGGCCTTCAGGGAGCCGTCCTGGGATTGTTCCTGGCCCCTGCTCCCCCTCCACTGGGGACAGCTACCCCTTTGGAAGGTACCTGGCCCTGGGGGGCTCCCATGTGCCAGGAAGACACGGCCCAGCTCCTCTGCCTGCAGAGCTGTGTCCCAGTCGCTGGTGCAGGGAGGGGAAGAAGGCACAGAGGGACTCCAAGGCCCTCAGTGGAGGTGGCACAGGGTTCCCAGAAACCCCTCCCTCTTCTGAGGAAGAACTAAGGAACCAAGCCTGTCCTGATCCTGACTGGAGGAGACTTGGGGCCTCGGGAGCAGGGCATGCAGGGGAGGAGAGAGCGACTCACTTGACACAGCTGCAGCCCTCCTCATGAGGAGGCCCCTGCCTTCTAGGGCACAGTGTCCTGTACCCCCCACCCTGTGGTGATCCTGCCACCGAAGGACCACAGATCCCTATCCAAGACCCTAGGACCTTCCAGCTCTTGGAAACAGAATCTCAGCTCTTACAGAGATGCAAGATGCGCTTATGCTGTCTACTCAGAACCTTTTGTACCCCCACCACCGTGGCACCTGGGCGCCTCTGTCCCCCAATACTACATGGCTGCAGCAGATGTGGAAACAGCGCCCCCTGCAGGATCAGTGGGGACCGTGCTCCTCCGGTCTCATTTCCGGTAGGATTTGGCTCCTATACGACTTAGGTCCAGACAGTTCTAGAGCCACAGGAGTCACAAGAAATCTTTTGGCTGTCGTCTGTGTCCGGTGGAATTTTTGAAATGGAAAATTCTAAAGGACTGTGGGTCTGACCTTGTCCCCAAATTGAGGCTTGGAGGAGGATTTAAGCAAAAAGCCCGAGCTGGCTCAGCGATCGGGGCTCGGGGTGGGCTCTGCGGGCTGGGCCAGGGGCTCCTAACGCTCGCGGCCCTGGCGGGGCACCTGTGATAGCCCCTGCCCCACGCCAGTGGGGATCTGAGGGTCCAGGCTGAGACACAGATGGCCAGAGAGGCGCTTGTGAGTGAGTGCGTGGGAAACAGCTCCAACTGTCTCTGCAGGACCCAAGCCCCTGTTGAAATGCAATTTTGTGCCTGGGACCATGAGAGCTGCCCAGACTTTCCCCACCTGGGGCTCGGAGCCAAGACCCCCATTCCCAGCCCAGGCTGGAATCCACAGGCTACAGCACCGCCTTCTGGGGCTGGTTGGATCTCACGGTGAGAGCCATAGCGGTTAGCGACGCCACCGCTGGTCTTTGCTGCCACCGTCTGGTCATGGTGGGGAACGACATGCAAATCGTCCATTCTGGGTCAATTTCACGTTCCTCGATTTGGCTGTGCGAGTCGATTTTGATTTCACCAAAAGTAATTTCTTAGCATGAGTTCGTTTCCTTGTAAATCTTTTAGTGAAAATTTGATTTTATTCCGTGGCTTTAAAACTATGTTGTGCTTTGCCAGGTTAGCTTCTAAGTTTTCACGTAGGGCGATTATTATTATTCATTTATCCAGTTCATACAATTAAAATTTTACCAGTGGTAGTTTGTGTTGGTTATTGTAATACATCTTTTCTTACTTCCTAAGTCATTTTATCAGAATGTTGCTGGAGTTTAAACAGCAGAGTTAAAATGTCTTGCTTGGGTTAGAAACTAATCTCTTTC